AACACTTGTTCCACACCTGACGATGCAACCACAGCAGAAAACAGCTTCTTTACAACTGTCAGGTTGTCTTCCTTGATGCCCTCATTTAACTGCCACCACTTTCTAGGACTGACTGCTTGAGTAACGTCCTCTTTAAACTTGCAAGCTTGAAAGGGGCATGATTTCACTTGGGATTTGATGATCATTGGCCTGATGGATGGCCACTTCTGACTGGCCTAGTGTAGCAGCAGTATCACTAAGAGACCTGCCTCTTTGGAAAGGATGAATGAGGTTTGCCACTGGATCAGCTTGTGTTACAGCCTGATTGTATCTGGTTTTGAACTTCTTGGTGACTTTCTGGTTACCCATAGGCAGGATCTTTCCCTCTAGTTCTTTCCAGATATAATGCAATTATCACATGCAAATTCTCTGCTGATCTCTTCAAGCCAAGGTTTGCCACCTTGGTTTGCCCTGTGCCGTCTATTTGTCCCTGTTTTCTTAACAGATTTTCAGTAGTGCAGGATACTGTAGTTTGTGATGTAGAATCTAAACAGTCAGACATGATATTCCATTGAACCTCTTGGGGCATTGCTAGACAATTTCCTCTTTGTCAATATTTTGCAGAAGCAAAGGGGTTGTTTCAGAAGTATTTTACCACATTCAGAACCTGCTTCTTCACGGTTGGCACTTCCATTAAGTTCCAAGTCTTCTGCAAGTAGATATGGGATGTGTGCAGAATAGTCAGTGACAGCGCTACCAATGTGGCAGCCAAATTTACTTTTAGCTTTGTTCATCAAAGTTGTTGCAACTTGCACAAGGCATTCAGCAGTGAGTGGCTCTCCAAAAGTGTCTACTGGCCACTACGAGTGGTAACAGTAGCAAAGATATTTGCAAGTTGGATGTTCTGATGAGTTTCATTTTCTAGTACCTGCATGGAAGGTGGATGTACCATTACTACATGTAGGTGCTCCAGATGTTGATGTACATGTAGATGCAGAAGCTTCTGAAGGACCTGGCTGGTCAGCTCAGGTTTTCTCTGATTTGGAAATATGAAATGAAACATGAGAGAATTTAGTCTGTTAGACATGGCCTTTCAAAGACTTTGAAGCATCCACTTGTCCGTCCATCAAATGTCTTGTATTCTGTATGTGAATTTCTTTTCTCTGGGTTAGCCTCATATCATAAAGATTACTTACTGTACGGTATGTCTGATTTACATGTATAAAAATGTAGAGTGTAATTTACATTACGTAACGTAATTTGACATGATTGTGTTTTTACCATAGATAGCTGTTACAATTGTGTTGGCCTGCGTAGTAATTAGGCACAACTGTAACGAAAGATCAAAAATACTTAGGGATATTAGAAGCATACCTTCTCTATTCTGCAGTGGCTCCAATACACGTATGTCAGAAGGACTTCGTCTACCAGAGCACTTATCATATTGGGATTTCATACATGTATGCTTCACCAGTCCTAGCAACACATATCCAATGGCTTTACATGTTGCACGACACCCTGTTGGTGCTCTTGATGCTATTTTTCATTGTGGTACCAAATGGGATCATTTTTTCTGCCTGACATGATTACATACTGCCTTTGAAAATAGTGATACAGTTGCTAGATGCTGTCGTTGCTGATCCTGGGATTCCCAGAAAATTTGCTATACTTTCTTGGATTTTCTATGGGGGATTTTCAGTGCTGATTGGGGCATTCTGAGTAAAAATATGCAATACTTACCCTTAGGATTCTTAACGATTATATCATATGAATCCATTTTTTTGGTCAAAAGTGTATATGATTACTTTTGAGACCTTTTTTCTGTAAATTTCCAAATACTGGTATTAAATTACTCCTTTTGGACAACTGGTACACAAACCTTAAATCTTGTTTTTGGAGTAAATATATTTCTAGAAATTGTAGGCATACCAGAAATTTAAAAGCAAAAAAATTGAAAAATCCTATTTAAATCAAAAAATTAATGAAATATTTTTTTAAATAAAAAAAAAGCCAACCCTGCAGAAAAGTACATGTATATGTACATGTACTGTATAGCTCGAACCATAATTATAGCACATTTTCATGACCGACTGAGATCTTGTGTGGTAGTCTATATGTATTGTGGGGTCAACACATTGCTACAAAGTGGCAGGAACCAGTCTCCTTCATTTCATGCAGCTTAAGCAGCACACGGTTTCTTTTTCTCCGCTGCAAAGTTTGTCCATGATGCTTCATGTGCATGATACAGGCAACTATGGTACGTGTGACACTTTATTAGTTAATTGCAACAAAAAGGTTGGCAGGTAGTCAGCTACATGTACATGTACGATAGGCCTAATTAATGTACAGTGTACATACGGTACAGTGCATTTCAACTGCAAACCCTTGAAATGCATGTACAGTGATTGCAATGCTGTAAATATTTTTCATATGGAAAATAGACCTACATGTGCATGTAGATCGCATCTCTATGTCTTTAAAAACACGTGGGACTTCAGACTTACTGTTTTTGCCCTTGAAATTACATGTATACCAGTATTTGTATACATGTTAAGCGGCTATTTTTCATTCAAACCTGGACCACTACCTGTACATGTAAACTTTGCTGTATGTATATTGGGACTGTTCTAAATGTACGTATATAAACTGTGTTTTGTGTGCAAGTATGAAGGTCATTGTTTCTAAACAACTGTGTAAAGTGAGTGTAAACAGTTCTTTTTTCTCATTTCATAGACACTGCTGCATGTATACACCTGCCCACCTTCTGTTTGGCATTTTTGTGACCAAGTGTCATCTTTTCAAATCGGTAGCACAATTCTCCTTTCTTTGGACACACAATATTTTAACAGTAGCATTACTGTTTTAGCTTGACTGCCTACAAACCTTTTTGATGCAATTAAATAAAAAAGTGCCCTCTTTTTTCTCATCTCAGTACCAAAATACATCCCCAGTTGTGCTGATGCTTCTGAACAACTGGTACTGTATGTAGGGGCGATCATGATGACTCTTGTACACCTGCTTAATGAGCATCAGCCTGCACATAGCTTTACTTTTCATCGCTCTTACTAATCTTTTTGTGATGATGAAGAAACAGTTGCAATTACTGGCCATTTTCACAGTCATTGATGTTAACTTTGAAATTCCAAGTTTGGTCTGTATTTTTCTAACCAGTGGATAGAATACTCAGGTTTTTGGTCATGCAGCTACATGAACAAGTATTCTGGGTAAGGGAAATGCTACCTCAAGCAGCTTCCTGCATTCATATACATGTACATGAAGATATTTTCAACCCTAACTGGAATACATGTACATGTAAATCCTACCACTTTGAGCATTCCGTTTTCAGTAATGTTTCTTATTCAATCACTTTTTATTGTTGTGCATGCAATTTCAAGTTGCTCTTAGATTATGGTTTTAAAGCACAAGGAATAGACCTTTCTGCCAAATAATTTTGACTGCTGATTCCGTTCTGGCATGTCACTGGGTGTCATCACATTTTGAAGTAACACTATCTGTTAACTTTTTATGTCATTACGTAATGCATCATTCTGACATTCAGAAATTGCAAATATCCTACATGTTCAAATTGTTACAGCCTCAACAAGCAGCCTAGCATACATGTACTAACACACTCTACACTGTGATAAGTGAGGCATATGAACACAACAATACATGCAGCTACTGTACTGCTATAATTAAATCTGTACAATGTACGTGTTCCAAAGTTCTACGATGGATCTATGATCATGTGCATCCAGCACAACCTAGGGCTGGTCTACATGTATGTCACTAGTGGGTGTGAATAATTATAATAAATACTTAAAGAAAAAGTATTCCCCTTTGAAAATGGAGGTTTAAAGACAGACTAATCATGTCAATTGCAAAATTCCAAAAAGATACAGTAGGCTGTCTATGGGAGCGGAGAATCATGATGAAGCTTGAAAGAAAGGTCTACCAGTATGGCTTTTGTCCAAATACTGCCTCCCATTTTGCAAGGGCAGCTAATTTTTGCACAAAGTTAATCTCTGAATGATAATCAACTTATGCCTTAAAATGTGTATTTTTTAAATCAATGTTCAAGAGGGAGATACAAGTATATTACCATTTACCACTTGGCAGTAATAGTCCTATACTACATGCATGTACATGTCATAGTTTCCAAAATGGTGTATTTTAAATAATCTTGCGTGTATTTGCATGTAATATCGGCTGACTAAAACCGACAGCAAAAATCTGTGACTTATACCAGTGGATGTTACTTTTCATCATGACCAATTTAGATGTAGGTGGAACCCAATTTCTAAATTCGTTAAATTTATGTCATTTTTGTCACTTTGGTTTAATAGACACAAATACAGTAAATAACATGCCCAACCAATTGTATTCTTTGAGAAGTACTAAATTCCAAATTTTTGTCAGTAAGTTTTACGACTAACGATTGTTAGTTGACTTGTACACTGTACGACGGTGGTTTTAAGTTTAAAGCAATTCATGTTTAAAAAATTCTGTGCAGGTTCCGTAAAATACAATGTACCCTTATCTTTCTCTTCATGGTTAGAAATTCTGACTGGAGCAACCCTCTTATACATGTACATGCCGTTTGACTTCCTCAGTTGGCACTTTTAATAATAGGGAGAATGACTGCGGTGTACTTAAGTCATTGTGTTCTTGTTTGAGTTTTCAAATCTTTTCAAATCATTAGCAAAATTTCCCTTTCTTTGGACGGAAAATATTTTAACAGTAATGTTACCATTAAAATATTGTGTGTCCAAAGAAAGGAGAATTGTGCTACCGATTTGAAAAGATGACACTCGGTCACAAAAATGCCAAACAGGAGGTGGGCAGGTGTATACATGTACATGCAGCAGTGTCTATGAAAGGAGAAAAAAGAACTGTTGTTGGAGTACATTCTATATCCCTCAACAAGCCAGAATATGGAAGTCAACTTAGCCTACATGTACCAAGCTATAATACCCTTTAAAATTTCTTTCTTTTGTGTTATAAAATCCTGTTTTATTTAGTGCAAGGATGGTGCACAAAGTATGTGTGGTTGGTGCTGGAATTATCGGTCTGTCAACTGCCTACATCATTCAAGACAAAATTCCAGATGTTGAGGTGACAATAATAGCTGACAGGTTCTCACCAGACACAACTGGAGATGGAACGGGGGGACTATGGATGCCCTACCTAGCAGGAAACACTCCAATGGAATTAATTCAGTTAGTATTCAGTTATTGTGATTGGTGTACTTGTGAAAGACATTATTTGCTTAGACCAATGGATTCAGCACACTTGCCCTACCTACACCTCATCACCAGTGTCATGATAAATTTGATAACTTAGTATTACACATACTGTAGTCATAGTAAAAATACCATGATTCCTTTCAAATGGATGGGGATTCGATTATCGAATATTTGAATATTTTCCAAATTTAATTATTTGAATGCAAAATTCATGAAAAGAAAGGGAAAATTATCTTTTGTTTTATAAGAAATTTGCACCATGGAGGCTTGTTTCAGGCAGATTTAAATGAAAAGTGACAGAAATCTTACTATTCAAAAAGTAATGTATTTATTAAAAAAATTAAAAGGACTAGAAATTTTCAACAGGGCAAGAAGTATTCATATCTTATATCTTGGTAAATCATGGCTAGAGATACTGGTAGTCCTAGAAGTGAGAAGCTGTTATAGTGACAAATCTACAATTGTTTGTGTTATTGCGACTGATGTTGTATACATGGTTTGTTCATAAACATTCTACTGGTTGTTATGACCAAATGTTCAAATATCCTATCAAATTGAAGGTTGAATATTCGAACAGTGGATTATTCTAATTGACTCTGCCCTACAGCACTACAATTTACAAGTAAGCTCTAAGGATGGATGGACAACTACTGAACCCGGCAGTAATGAAGATTGCGTATATGAGACAAGAATCATTGGTCACTGAATAGTGAGATACATGTAGATTATCCATTAACTGGCCTGTAGGCTGGTCATTTCACTTATCATACATGTAGATCTGATGACCCTAAACTTCTTGCCTTGCAGAAAATGGGGCAAAGACACCTGGGACTATCTGATCAAGATATTGCGATCCCCTGAGGCAGATGCAGCTGGAGTTTCCATACATTCTGGTCACATCATATATGAAAAGAAGCCAGAACAGGTATGAAGACTGATGTGTACAATTTATTTTGCTTGTACATGTACCTCCATTGAGACACTTGAGGTATATGTACAAGTATCTCTCAGTGAACTATGGATTGTTGAGATTTGTGTTAGAAGAGGAAGTAGGATGAGCCAGTGGTTTCACAAAATTTAACATAACCTTGCCATAGCCTTTTCACATAAGTTGCAGTGCTCTACAAAACAGTTTTGTGAACAATTGCACACTGAAAGATTTGCAAAGGTAATCTAGATTTCAAATGTTCAAATCATGATGGATGAGGATGATCATAGCTTTTTTTAACAGGTATTCGTCTTTCCTTTGCCTGAAACAGCACATCTCAAGTTTCTCCCAGAATCAGAGAAGCATTCATTATCCCAAAAGCAGTGCTTAACAGTTCTCATGTAAACAAAGTTGAACAGTGTTGAGCCTGTGCCGACACAATTGTGATCCAACCCAACAAAATGAGTCACAATTCACCAGAGCCACTTTTGTTTTGAAAGCTTTGAAACAATCTTTCAAAGTATAAATTATGTGAAACTCTAACATTGTGGAGTTTAGGGATGGGCTAAAAGTGTCTGGCTTTTGAGGGTTGAGGTAAGCGTTGGGAACCTCATCCCATCAGCATCACCTCTTAACTTGAGGGATTGTTGCTCATTCAGTTATTTGTTGAAGCTGTATCACCTCATCTCCTTTCCAAATTCAGGATCCATTTTGGAAAGACATGGTCTTCCACTTCAAACATTGCACCCAGCATGAGTTGGACGCTTTGTTTCCAGGTTACCCGTAAGTCTCCAGACAGTCAGTAATCGACTAAAATAAATTGTCTTTGAAAATGTTTTCACAATCTATGCTACATGTTCATATACATGTACATGTACATTGTTTAGCTTTACTGTGATCATTAAGGCATTTTGACTTCTCATCAGGAAAAAAATTGCTGTGATTAGCAGGAGTATGCATAATGTCATAGGGTGATATTAATAAAGTGCATAATGTCATATGAAAGAAACCTCATGCCATTTGTCTGGATGCAATGTAATTATGAGTGGTACATGTACATTGAAAAGTGTAATGACTTGGATGTCTGTATTCAGTCCCATTACACCATATTTACATGTATGCCCAGTAAGCATCTCACAATAAAATTAATGCGCAGAACATAAATGTAGCTAATATACATGTAGTTTGTTGCCACTGGTTACTTTCTTTTTAATTCAAGGCATTATCTCACCATTTACCTGCAAAAATAAATAAGTTTCAATGCGGCCGTTTCACCATAGTGTGCCACCAAGAGTTTTTAACGTATTGGCCTATCACAATGTGCAAAATTTGTTGACCCAATGCGCGTTTTGAAAGGGTTGACAAATTTTGCGAGTTATGATTGGCCAACGCGTTGCAAACTCTTGGTGGCGCACTATTGTGAATCGCCCGTATTGAAAGTGAATATCATGGGTAAAAACTGCAGCATTCAATTATTTGGAACTGTACATGTAGTTTTCAACAGATAAAATGACAGTTTTTATACAAACTGAGATTCATATTGAACATTATTGATAAATTGCTTCAGGTAGCCAACTCAGTATAGCTGTGTAAAACATTTCACGGTACTTTGTTAAAATTATGAGCAAAGGACACATCCTTATTTAAGGAGCAAAGCAGTTGATGAGTAGCGTAGTATTAACTCACTAATATGTTAATATCTCTCACCAAGGTGTGGTGTACACGTGACAATGATGTTTTGCTTGTGTCTGAGATACCTACCTTGGCTTATGGAAAGGTATGTTGTGTAAAATATTTCATTTGTAAAACCTGACCCACAGATTCTTTTGTTCACTTTACTTTATTGTCACTTAAGAAAAAATAGTTCATATACAGGTATATCATAATAACTTGTGACTACAGAAAGTGGGAGATCTCATAAGAAGCGAGGCTTGGTAAGTATGGGCCCCTTGCAGTACACAAGTAAAGTGATTTTGCTGGTTATACAAGAAGAAAGAACATTAGCCACTTGCTGCTGAGTGACCCGTTTTTGATGTTTTCGAGCACCTAGGCTTTGTACACGAAGCCAGGGATCCCGAAACCGTGACAAAAGAGCTGGGCCTTGTAACAATTAAAAGACCGTGCTTGCCACAAAAGACTGAGCTGCTGGGCATTACTGCCATTTTTTCACTCTCAATAGTGGAGATAATCCAGCCTTGTTTTGAAACAGTATACCCCGGTTTGGGGCATTTAGAGCAAGCGGATTACCACCGGGGACAAAAGCGCTCCACCACCGCAGCAGTGAGCCACACATCACCGCTGCATGCTAATCTGGCCCCCTTTGAAAAGAGGTTTTGGGAACAAAAGAATCTTGCGTACATGTAACACCACGCAATGTGGGCTCTTTTTACAAGGCTGCAGGCCTGGCTGAAATATTCAGGAGTCAATGAGGGTCACCTGTCAGCTTAGAGTAGCCACCGAAGAGTCCTTCGTGTGGGTTTAAATGTCTGTGAAATGAAATGATGAATTTTTAAAGAATTTTGAAAACTGAAAATCTTGAAAAAGCCCCGTATGCGTGCATTGTGTTTTTATAAGCACCCAGCAGCAGGTGTTTCAACTAAGGACAAGCACAGAAAAAGAAGTGAAGGATGAAAAATAAATCAAAATTAGATATAATTGAATCCCAGTAAAATCACCGGTCCCTGTGTGTGCTCAATCAGCATTGGTACCGGTACCTGTGTGTGCTCAATCAGCATTGGTAGGTACATGTACCTGTACCGCCGGTGTTGATGACTACAGTAGTTGCTTTTACCGCTGGATTATTCACCCACTCATATCCAAGACTACAAGGACAGCAATGTGGCTTGCTTCTACATGTATGTGCTGCATGATGCAAATTCACGTTCAAGTTCTCAGCACATTAAACAAGCACCAAGCTACATTGTATTTTTAGCGTTATCCAAGCAGTCTAAAACCATGTAAAACCAATGCTTTTGTGCACCTGCACCGTACAGCATAGTCTGACAGTGAACACGTGCACATGTATGTGTAATCTAAAATTATATGAATTTTGTATGAACTTGTGTAGACGAGGGTGTGTAGATATCAGCCATCATCGTTGGTAATTTAAAAATCTGTAGGCTTCCCCCAAAACGTTAAGCAACTTCCATTGTGCACTTTGTTCTGTGAAAGTATAAGGGGGAAAAAGGGCACATT